ATGCTTGTGCCTAAGAAATAGAAAAGAAAGACATTTCAATATAACTAGATTATTAGAATTGGTAGAATTCTTGAATACATTATTTTAAAAAAAAATTGTCAGGTCCTTTCAGGTCATAGGTGATCATGACTCTCCACAGAATCCGTTTCTTTATTTGGTAACAAGGTCTCATCAATACAGTTGAATTAATTAGGTGTAACCATAAGTTTCTTTTCTCACACTTCTTGCTTGCGGAATGCTCTTCAGCTCCATGCTTTCCGGACAACTTTGATCTTCAAAAATTTAAATGTAATGTCAATCATTATTTCCTGTCTTCCTGATTACTCTACTATTGTTCCTGCTTCTTCATGTTTTCTGTTTTCTAATTCTTTCACACCCAACTTTGTGTTTCAATGGCTTTACTGCCTTGCTTGAGGTGAATTTGATTCAAAAAAAAGAAAACATCTGTAGATTTTCATGCATTCTTTGCAAAGATAATGGAGTGGTTTCTTGTTGCCTTCCTTGTAATTTGGAATTCAGAGTTTTCCTTCTCTTAGACTAGGTGGTACAGAGACACAGTGGAGTAATGGATAACAACTCAGACTGAGGAATCAGAGGGCAAAGTTCAAATTCCAGACAAGTTAATTACATCGATTTACATGCTAATACCTTGGGAAAGATATAAATCCACCTCTTCCCCCCCCCCACCAGCTATGGGTAAATACTATGATAAACTGGGATCTCAAGGCTTGGTTGACAACCAGTCTAGAAGGAAAACTCAGAATTCAAACCAGCCTGGAGAATGTTGGGTTCTGTCAGGCTGTCTTGCCCAAGGAATACCACTGTTACTGAAGCTTCAGTACATGGAGTGCCCCTATGATGCTAATAGGTTACAAGACTTGTGATCATGAGACTGGTTGCTGCTCAGGGCAAGAGAACCCAGTGTTATTTAATCCATAATGAGGTGAGGTAGGAAAAGACAGGCCTTTGTGTAAATGTGAACAGAACAGACTCACTTGGAATTTGAACTCAGTTTGCTGATTCCAAGCTCCACCACTGATTTCCAATACACTGCCCACATATCCAGTACAAAATAATGTATTTAGTAACTCTTTATATTTAATGTTTTTTTAAGCTACAGTAACATCATTTGGAAAGATACTCAAGATTTAGTCAGATTAGAATATAGTTGCTTTTAAGAAAAGAAAATTGTATACCCAAAATTATTCATTCGAAAGACCTTTTGAATTTTCTAGAACACATGAGGAAAGAAAGTTAGGAGAATTTGACACTCACTGAACATATTGACATGTACAGAGGAAAACAGTGAGTAAGGTACGTAATGAGCTTGTGTAAATAGAGGACAAAACAAGGAGGGATAAGAAAAAGAGAAATCTTAAAAAGGATAGGAAGATGTGCAGAGCCATGACCGCCCATGTCCTGAAGGGACATTGCACATAGAAGAAGAAGGTAAAACTATTACACAAGGATGTTGGCTAACACTAATTCTAGGGAATGGATACCAAAAACCAAACTAATAAGTTACTAATTCTAAGAACCATTTAATAGCTACCAAAAACCAACTGACTATTTGTAGAGAATTCCTTTTTTCTCTGTTTTTTTCTATTATGGCAAAAAAACTGAATTGAAAGCATGATTGATAGTTGTAAGGTTGGTATCTACTAAATCATAACAAACTTTAGATGAGAGATTTAATCAAAGACTATGACTTGTAATTTAATATTGTTCATGTCATTATTTCTTTTATAGTTTTTTTTTTCTGATAATGATCAGTATGAAAGCAAACTTGTATAGATTTTTCAGTGTCTCCCTTGAACTGATAAACTGATTAGATTCTCTTTTGCGAGTTTCACAGATAAATACAATCAACAGTTTTATAAACTAACCCATGAAAAAAATATGGCTGCCAGTTAGCGCTAAAATGAACTTCATATACTTCCTTTCAGTTATCATACTATTCTGGCATAAAAATGATAACAACTTGTTTACTTGGCAGCATATTTCTTTCTTTTATTCTTATTCATAAAAGGTTTGATAAAATTCCTCTAAGATGAGTTGTTGCCTGTACAGTACTGGTAATTTGTAATATAGCATTCTGATCAACAAGATTTAAGAGTATATATTTGATATTACACTGTACATGAAATAGATATGCCCATTTGATGATGCCATTTTGTTAACATGATTTATAATATAGTATATGTGAAAGACATTCTTGATATTCCCTCGATCCACCCCTTCGGCTTACTAAGGAAGTGGAGAGTGATTTTGCATTACCCTTTTTGGATGTGCTGGTTGAACAGAAGGAGGGGTCATTTATTACATTACCAGCATATATTGTAGACCCACTTTTACTGGGTTGTATACCAATTGGAATTCTTTTGTCCCAAAGTTCCATAAGATTAATTTACTTTCTACCTTGGTCCACCATGTTTTGATGATATGTTCACCTTGTAAGTTGAAGGAGGAATTGGAAAAATTTACAATATTTTCTGGGATAATGGCTACCCAGAGAATGTTGTTAAATGTACAGTGAAACATAAGATTAAGCATTTTAAGACTCATGTGGTTTTTGGACCTGGTCTTTATTCAGTTTATTTAAAACTACCATAGTTGGGTAGAGGGTGTCAGACACTTACTGATGGGGCATTGGCATGAGTGACTGCTTGCTTTCTTCTGTCAAGCTGCATGTTATATTTAATACTATTCTGGTGTTGCCATCTTTCACTTAGGATGGTTTGTTCTACCTACAAAGTAGTTCCGTGATTTATCAATTTAAATGTCGGTGTGAGGCTGACTATGTGCAGCAAAACAACTTGCAGTTGGAGACACAGATTGGACAACATGTACCTGTAAGACAGGGTGGAGCTAGGAACAGTAATCGCTTGATTCGGTGAGTTTATGAGTCAGCAATTGGACTTTATTTGATTAACAACCTGGGTAGCCCTTCCAAATATGTTGACAGGGTGTTCAGGGTGCTGCACAGGGCTCAGTCAGTTAAACATTTACAGTTTTTAGTAACTTCATTGACCAACTTTGTACAGGTAGAAGGAGAACTTCATACTCTGTGTCATCTCATCAGTGGCTCATGAGTAATATTTTTAATTTTTATACTCACTAAGATCTTATTTAAAGTAATTTGTTTGTTTTTAGTAAGAAATTTAATTTAGTCATGGCTCCTTATGTATCCCTTCGATGTTTACCTTTTTCAGTTTCACCATTTTGATTATTGTTGTTCCAGTAAATCTTTCTGAAGTGTTGGCCGAAAAAAGAATGCATTCTGTCATTTTCAAAGCCATATTCTGTGATACAAAATTTTTGTTTATATCTATCTATCTATCTATCTATCTATCTATATATATATATATATATATATACATACATACATACATACATACATACATATATATATAGGTAGTAATCTGTTGGTATAATCTAATTAACACAATATATAATTTTAAATATTAAATATTAAATTTTAAAATTGACTCACAAAGAGCACTCTATGTTTATTTTCTTTAAACAGAGCAAATTATTTCATACAATTAGAATTAAGATACCATTAGTGAATGATCATTTTCACCTGCATATTTTAATTTTAAAATTCACAGGATTTTACGGTATCAGTTTGTTGAAGAGGACCAATCCTCTTCAACAAACTGACACCATAAACAGTTTGAAAAATCCTGTGAATTTTAAATTTAAAATTTGTGGATGAAAATGATCATTCACTAATGGTATCTTAATTCCAATTTTTCTATATATATATAGTGTGTAAGGTATTTGAGGACACTCTGAAGACTGTATGAAAAGAACCACATCTTACAAACAACTAAATTTATTAATACAAAACTTGTTACACAAATGCAGTAATGGTTGGATTGCATGTTTATTCAAAATAACTGCCTTTAGCCACAATGATTGCTTCAATGTGAGGCCAGAATCATTGACATGCATGCATCATATGGTCTGTATTGATATTGAACATTACTCAAGCAATAGCAACTTTCAACAAATCAGTCATATTGTGGGAATGTTGATTAGTCTCTTATTAAACAATGCCCCACATGTCAATGAGATTTAGGTCTGGCAAATTAAGTAGCCACATGTTTGGTGTTATGTAGTCATACAGATTGGCCACCATCTAATCTTGGGTCACTACAACTTTTTTAGCAGGTGCAGAGTCCTGCTGAAACAAATATAGCCTTCCATCACATACAAGGTCTACCCAGGAATTCACAACTGTTTCTAGCACCTCAGTGTAGCCAACAGCATTCAATCAAAGACCTTGTTGAAAGAAGTGGGGTGGCATGACATGTCCTACACTACTCACCACTCCTAAAACCATTACAGAAATGGAGAAACTTGGTGCACATAAAATAAGGGACATCAGAAGGATTCATACATAACCACCTTTCCCCAATTTGCTTTTTGATCCTGATTGAAATTATTTTCATCTGAAAAAAAAGAAAATGGAGCATGCCAGGTTCTTCTGAATGTTTCAACTTGTTTAATAATTGTTTTGCTCTGAGTAACCATTGTCCTTGTGTGTGTTTATACCGAAATGAACCGTACTTTCCTCATCCTGTATGATTCATATTAAATGTCCTCATACACCACATTACAGATTGTGCCCTTGGACACCTGGAGATTTCTGGCAACATCTCTCATGGATGTTCTGAGATTCACATTGATAATGTTCTGCACATGCTGTATGAATTGTGGTGTTTTGATACTGTCCAAACACTGTGAATGCTTTTTGCACTTCACTACAGGTGATACATCCCACTGAAGGTTTCCAACTTGCCTTCCAAACTTTGTGCACAAACGACTTGGTAACTTTTTTTTACTGTACTTTGCATGTATCACAACAATTATGGTATGTAGTTTCATCTCATGCATTAGCTGATAGTTCGGCATGGATGCTCGAAATAGATAAAGGCATATTAATTGATTATTACAGAATAGCAGGTGGACAAACACATATTCCCAAAGTCTTTATGCACAGTCTATCTATCTATCTATCTATCTATCTATCTATCTATCTCTCTCTCTCTCTCTATATATATATATATATATATAGAGAGAGAGAGAGAGAGAGAGCTATTTTTCACTTTTTGTGTAATAACAGGGAGGGAGGGCAATGTGAAAAATCAACTGAAGAGTAAAAATTGACTTATACATAAGTATATATGTGTAAAAATTTCAGATAGAGTATATCTGTAAAATGAAAATATCACTAAAGACAAAAGGAAAACTTATCTTAGCCGACATGTTTCCTCTTATGTGGGACTTTATCAAGGCAAATGCAAGAATTTTATGTTGGAACAAGTATTTATATACAAGAACAAAAAACAAACGGCCGAAACATTGTGATAAATGTGGTGACAAAGATGAGGACAATAGTCTGAATAATGTAAATAATGTACATAATACCTCATCTCAGAAATATAGACAGACTCTGAAGAACAAAAATGTTATTAGTTTTTCAAAATTTTTGTGTTAGGAACACTTATCAGTATTCATCAGGTTAGCTAAAATGTCAGACAATCTACGGGGACACAAAGTGATACAGTTCAACGTCTAAGAAACAAAAGTGAGTAAGTGAAATTTTTTTTTTAAATTTGTTTTTGATAAAACAATAACACTTTTGCTCCTGTACATAAATACTTGTTACAAAATAAAATCCTTGCATTTGACTTGGCAAAATCCCACAAAGGACAAAACATGTTGGCTAAGATGAATTTTTCTTTTGTCTTTATTCATAAGTATATATGCCCAATAAACACACATACATACACATCAAAATCTATACCTGTTTATTTTAAACGCTCACCAGATGAATTGTTCATTTTACATTTTTCATGTTTTGTGTAAATGTATGTTATTTTTATCTCTATTAAAAAGGTGTTTTTAAAGTATTTAAAATAGATCACTCTTATATATATTATTTATCTTAGGATATTAAAACAAAAACGTGTTAAAAATTGCTACACAATTACAATCATGTTTCAACACCACAAATGTGTCTCCTTGGACAATGTCAAACTACTAGCGAGGGAAAGACATTGCCCAACGAGACGCATTTGTGGTGTTAAATCATGATTGTAATTGTGTAGTGATTTTTAACGTTTTTGTTTTAATATCCTAAAATAAATAATAATTAGCTCTACTCTTTGTTGAGCCCACTTTTAAATTAAATGTCACATACAGTGAAATTATACTCCATTTGTTCTCATTTTACTTGGATATATATGTTGTGACCAAGTAAATGGTTAATTAATAACAAAAACCAGGTTTGCAGATATATCATATATTAAACAGTAAGTACATCAGAAGAGTATTACATGACTAGTGAGAGTGTATCGAATAAACTAGTGCTCAATCTATTCACTGTTCACTGTTCCTTCTCTTCTACTAAACTTATAGTAGGTAGAAGGGTCTAACATCACAAAAATATATATATATATATATATATATATATATATATATATATATATATATATATATAATTTATATATATATATATATATATATATATATTGCAAATGTATATACAAATTATATATAACACTGGAGAAAGAAAAAATCTATCCCATTTGGCTACAATTTTACTTCCTAAAGAGGGATAAGTGAGTGAAATTCTCTGAATATACTGGAATAAATAATATTGGGAAATACATTTATAACTTGAACTATCAGTAAAAACAAAAATAAAAGCTGATCAGAACAAAATGGTGATGGTAATATTCGTTGTTTACTTATGTGGAAACATTTAGCATTTATTGACTGAGTAGCCAGGGCTAATGTTGGTTGAAATCTATAAAATCTTTCTCTTCAGACAATTTTTCAGGAAAATAGGTTTCTCAAGTTCAGTACCTGATATTGCTCTTTTCAGTATTGATGGGGATTTCCTTCCTAACTTTTTATTTAAAGCGTGGAATATCAACATCTTGTCATTATTTTCTCTTCAAGTTACATGTGCTATCCATTTTAGATGTCGCTATTGTTGAAAGTCCTCAAGTGATGTGGTTTCTATTATAATACTTAGAAAAATAAACTTGTAAACAAATATTACAACTTTTAGGAGACATTTATAATAAATCAAAATAACCAACAATGGCATAAAACTGATGCCCTTTACAAATTCACTTGACCTGTTAGAAATTGTATCTCTGAAAATAATCAAAAAAATATATTTTACATAGTATATACAATCACAATTCTTTTATGTAGATTCACATGTCATTCAGTGGTGAATAGTGAATTTGAAATCGGGATCATGATAAAAAGTATCAGTATCACACTCTACTTTTATCTTCTTGAAAAAGTCTTTACTCATGGAAATGAAAACCAAATTACTTGTCTTCATGTTCAAAACAAGAAGCAAGAACTAATTCCACATTTTTTACTTTTCTCATACACACAGCCTTAACCCCACATTCTCTATATGTGTGCATACAACTGGTACAGGACTGGTATACAGAAGCAAGAACCTTCTCTGCTTCCACTATTCTACTAATAGAGTGTGCAAATTCCTCTCTCTCGAGTGGTATACACATTCTGATACTTACCGGTCAAAGGGATCCATCCCTGCACTGGTAATATCACAGCTATGACTAGCTTGGACCAGCTATGACCAGCTAAGGCCAGCTATGACCACCACCCTCCACTGTCTTTACTCGGGTCGCCACATTAAAAACCGACCTTGTGTCACAACCTGACTCAGTGGGGGTCAAGTAAATCTCTACACTACTAATGTCACTTGTTCACAATTTATTCTAAGAAATGAAAAAAATGGAGGATTTTTTTTTAAAAAATGATTATGAGTGCAAAATGTTAGTAAAAATAATTAATTTTTTATTACATAAATCCAAGACATGCAATGCATACATGGATCCTTCATCATTGAGATATATATATATATAATTAAAAAATTAAAAATATCCCAAACTGACACTCATGAATTCCTGATCACAATACCCTGCTTTTGTTACACTAAGCTGGCACCAACTGCTCTACTTCTGATAAGAAGATCTTAATGGTCTCTCATTGATTTCTTATCCAGCCTTTTTCCTATTTTAAATCTCTTCAACTCTAGTCTGATGCTCTAACCATAAAGCTAACTATTCCAAGACACTTTCAGACAAGTAAATATATGCATATACATGTCTATATGCATGTAAATGAATTTAAGTCTATGTTTGATGTTTTCAGACTGTTTTTAATTCCTTATTAAACAGATATCCAAGTTCAAAAGATTGGAGTGATGCTCCTGAACACTATCCAGCCCAAATTCTCCTTTTCTTCTTCTTCTTCCTCCTCCTCCTCAAACATAACCAAAGTGCTTCTGATGTCCATTTGAGCATACTGCCTCATTCAAAAGAACTACTCATCCTCCACAAAGCCAATCAATCAGTCAGCGTCCTGTAGATAATTGCCAAGGATAAATGAAAATTTATTGATAAGACCCCAACAGATAACCCAATAGGTGGCAGGCACTGGTATGGTCTTTGCAAACATTAATTATTGCTTGCTTTACTCATTCAGACTTATCTTGGATAGAATTTGCCTTAGTTTCACTTTAGTTGGATGTGAGGGAGGGTCTTATTAATAAAAGAGTCATAAAGTACTTGACCAGGCAAAATGGTCTGAAGACTGATTTAAGAGATATATAAAGCAAAAATAGAACTGGAATGAAGGGAATATTGACTCTAGGGAGCATTTAATCAGTGTAAGAGTTTTGAAGTACTTAGGCAAAATTGTGAGTTAAATAGCTGTTTAATTTAAATTGTGAGTAGACATTTACAGATTTTACAAGAAAACAAATGTACTGACTTAGAAACTGTTGGTATATATATATATATATATATATATATGACATGAAAACACTACAACGAGTGCTCAGGATCACCTCCTCAGTGATGTTATGACTTGGGGTCATTACAAGTTTCGGGTCTTCCAACATCATACTTGTTCACCCAAGAGACCCAACCTAAACAGTACTATACCGGCAGGTGACCTTGAAGCAAAAATATATATATATATATATATATATATATATATATATATATATATATATATATATATATGTACTGAATTAGAAACTGTTGGTATTGAGATATATATATATATATATATATATATATGAAGAAAAATTTGGAAAAAACAAACCAAAAATCCTTAAATGCAATTATGTTGTTTAAAATGAATGAAATGTCGACGTCTTTTCATTTTCTTTTTCATTCAAAATAATCAAAAATTTTTAGGAATACGTTTTGAAAGCGTCGCCCATGTGACGACAATGTGACTATGCTAAACGGAAAGCAGATCATTTTAAAAATTTTCAGTTATCTGTTTTTGGATAAGACTTGTTGTTTTTTATGTCCATCGTCTTTGTCAAATTGAACTGAATTGTATTTTAATGAATATTGTCCTGAAGAAGGTTTATTAAACCGAAATGTCAGACGTCGACATTTCAATCATTTTAAACAACATAATTGCATTTAAGGATTTTTGGTTTGTTTTTTCCAAATTTTTCTTCATTCTGTCGGATCTATATCCATTTACATTTGCTTACATATATATATATATATATGTATATATATGTGTGTGTGTGTGTGTGTGTGTGTGTTAATCCTTTCACCCCCCCCCCCCCAGCAAAGTAACAAAGAAAAAAGACATCAGGACATTGGGAGGAGAGAGCTGAAATTTCTAGGGCACATAATGAGAAAAGAATGCTTGGAAAATTTGACATTCACAGGAGATATTGAAAGCAAAAGGGACAGAGGAAACCAGTCCATAATCTAGCTAACAAGCTTGTGTCAATTTTTGGCAGAACAGGGTTTAAGAGAGATAGCGAAAAAACAAAATTTATTAAGAGCTACAAAAAACAGGAAATTGTGGAGAGCCATGATCACCCACATCTTGAAGAGATGTAGAACAAAGATTATGTCTATTTTCCAAGTAGAGAGGACGTGTCTGCCTTGAAGCTCCACAAATTAGATCACCAACTGCTGACATGAATGATAATGTGTAACTCTCTCATCAATAAAGCAAGCTATTTTTTTAGGACATCGAGGATTTTCCTCTAGCAGTTTATAGACTGACAGAAAGAATTT